ATCTACAAACGAAAAGAAGAAATTTCCACCTCTACCAGAGACACAGGTGTAAATGGCAGCACGGATGATGATTCACCTCGTGTTTATTCAGGAGGAAGAGAACAAAGAACGGCTCGATAAACGAGGAATACAGAAAAATTTTTGTCCTCGTAACGATATATCGCCGCTCGTTGGAAAACGATCCAAAGCTGTCTCGTCTATCTGAAGATGACGCGGCTCGCCCTTGAAAAATCGTCTGTCGGAACAGGAAAAGGGGGAGTTCGCACTTTCTCCGAATCCGTCGACTCGCGGCGGCGTTCAAGCACGTTCTGGCTTGGCGCCAAAAGCTAGTTGGAAAAAGGAAGGAGGAGGGGGAGAAGGAAGGGGAGGGATTGCTGCGAATTTTCTCCCGCCACGATATTTTCAACAACCGCGAATCGCACCGCTCGACTGACTCGCCTGACTCGAGATAACGACTCGTAACCCCCCCCCCCCCCCCTCCCCTTTCCTCGACAATGCTTCCCCGCGATTATCCTTCGACCCTCTCTTTTAAACTTTGTACGCAACCGAACGATTCGCTCTTCGAACAAAAATTTTCAGAGAGGATAACTGAGAAAAATATGATATAAACGAGACGAATAATCCGTTTCTTCGATTTTAATAATTTTCATTTAAAAAACAAAATTCTTTATGGACAATAAAAGGGAATGAAGATGAATTAATCATCGAATTAATTAAATTTCCTCCTTAAAGAGGAAACTCTTTTCCAAGATAAAATTCGCGTGTAATTTGGTGTGTGTGTATGTAATTTGGTGCGTGCGCGTGTGTGCGTGTGTGCGTGTGTGTGTGCGTGCATCGTGGTCGAATTTAATAGCCGCGATTCCATTATAAATGCCGGTTCGCTGGGTCGTGAAACGCCACGCGGAGAAAATAATGAAAATTCTGTTTTCGGGTCGACGAGTTGAAAATTCCGCTGTCCGATTAAGATTTAAAAAAAAAAAAAAAAAAAAAATCGTACGCGAATTTTCAGTATCGAGCGGGAGAAAGAAAAATGTTGGGCGAATCCGGTGGGTATGATCGTGACGCGAGGCGGTTCGAAGCGAGGGACGCGAGGCCGCGACACTACTCCTCCCGTCGATTTTTACCGGTCCGCTCTCTCGGCCCGTACCAATGCGCGGTTCCAAATATAAACCTCTTGGTTCGTAGGCTCGCGGTGCCATCCATTCCCGGCCCCGGTCGAGCGTTTATTTTCTATGGTTTCGGCGACACGCGCGCGAGAACCGTCGCCCTCCGCTTTCCGTTCCATCGTCTCGGCCAAGGATTTCGTTCGTTCCGTTTCGAGGGGAAAATTTGAGAAAGTGCGTCGCCGAGGAAGGAATCATGTTCGAAGCGAGGATAATTAATTCGTGAGAGGAAGAGAGAGAGAGAGAGAGAGAATAGTTAGAAGAATATGTCGAGATTGTTTCGAAGAATATTCCTGTGCGGATGCTCGTCCAACTCGAGGGGAATCGACGGGCAAAAGTTCGTGGTCGACGAGTCCGTGGTCGAGGATGGGCCAAAGTCGATTGAATTCTTGGCGAGCGACGAGCATCTGGACGAGGATATAGCGACGCACTTCGATTTGTCCACCATCAAGTTCATAGACGAGGAGGAGGAGGAGGAGGAGGAGGAGACGGATGACGATGAGGTGGCGGTGTTTGAAAATGGTATAACACTCTCCGCGGAAAGGATTAGATCCACTTAGTCCGCTAATTTATTACGATAGGATGAGGCAAATTAGATTTTGATTCCAAAGATTAAGACAAAGACGAGTGGATGTTGTTACAGTAGGAGAAAATAACAGAAAAGAAATTGGAAGTAGTATTAAAAAATGGAGAGGGAAGGTTATTCTCGCGACTAATCGCTTTTTGAAATTGTTGACAGTAGAGCTGGACGGGTTCAACGCTGGTCGGGTTCGAGAAGCTTGGGTCATCGCCGTCGAAAGGTAATTACACATTTGTAAAGAGCGATCAATAATTTCTAACGAAACAGAAATTCGTTGATTAATATTCAAATATATATATATATTCTTGCAACGCATTCTTTGTTCGGAATGTTGGCACTTTCCGCGACCTTCTAATTTTACGCGATTCATCCGGAGGATTTTTCGTTGCAGGCGTGCAAAGGAACGATTGCAGCGGCTGGCATCTCACTGGAGAATCCAACCGCGGGATATCCAAGCGATTCTGCACCAGCAGGTACAGTGGTTTCTACGATAATAAGTATTGAACGATAAAATATCGAATAACGATTGATATTAATTAAAAAACTACGTTTTTTTTTCTTTTTTTTTTTTTTTTGATCGAGGCTTTGGAATATAAGAAAGAGATAATGGCAACAAGAAATTCCGAAAAAGAGAGATTCCAACGATACGAAAAAAGAAAAAGGATAAGAATGTGGGAGATAATAGAAAAAAAAAGATATGGAAGGAAAGAGTGAAATTTGCAACGAGGTAATAGGAATATTTCCGCTAGGTAACGAATAAAACAAATAATTATGCGGGGATAGTTGGCAATTATACGGGAATGCCCTTTGCAATTCGAAGGAAGATTGTGTACAGGCCTTTCACCACACCGAAAGATACCTCCTCCTCGTTTTACGTAATAATCGCGAATAGAAACGTTGAAGTGTACGTTACCGACGACGAGAGAACAATACGATCGGAGTTGGTTCAATTGGACGGTTAACGCCGAGATAAAATATTCGAGCAATTAGTTCCTATTCCATCCGCGTATTCTATCGATATGGCGTTCCAGTCGGGGAGTACTATTATTCGAAGGATGCGCGAACGAATCGACAGAGAAATCGTCACGGAGATATTGCTTATAATATGTGGAATGCAAAGTAAACGAGCCGAGTGAACGGTTGCCACGATCATGCGCGGCCTTGGATAACGTGTCCATTCCACAGGTTGCGGTTCAAAAAAAATGATCGCCACGATTTTTCGCATCTTTCCTTCCCTCGTCTCATCTCTCTCGTCTCTCTTGTCGATCGAGCTTGTAACGAAGGAAGGAAAAAAGGGAAGAGAGAGGAAAAAAAAAAAAAAAGAGGGTATCGATCGGGAAACGTGGTCGGAATCTCTTTGTTTCCGGGAGAAAGAACGGTCGTCCGGTAGAGGCGAAGCCAGCTGATTGTTTGGTATCTGGTACGTGTGTGTGTGTGTGTGTGCAGATCAACGAGGCAGTCGCGTCGACGAGCGGGGACAGCGCGGGCAAAAATGTGACGGGCAACCAAATTACCGTGACGCTTGCCGACAAGTAAGTGGCATTTCGTTCTTCCCCGTTTCTCTTCCGTTATTTATTCCCTCGTCGATCGTTATTCCGCTCTATTCTTCCTTTTACGCGTTTTTCCAAACCCGCCTCCTCTTTGTGCATCATCCACATTTTCTTTTTTTTTTTTTACGAATTTCGATCATTTCCAATCGATCCATCCACGATCTTTCGAAATCGCGAACAACGGCGTTTTTTATTCGGGACGAAAGCTTAACGGTTTCCATTCGATTCGATTCGATTCGATTCGTTTCGTTTCGTTTCGTTTCGTTTCGTTTCGTTTCGATCGACACTGCGAAGTGCGTCGTCGATCACGTGAAAACGCGAAAAGTTGCCACGCGATGGGAAGTACAATTATACGAGAACCGGACGCGAGAAATAGCCGTGATTGATATCCCATCGCGATACCACTGCGCATACCGCGTCGTTTTTTTTTTTTTTTTTTCATTTACCTTAGACAGTCTCGTGGATTCCTGCAATATTTAAACCCAGTGTTTTCCCTGTCCCAGGGAGCCGAGCACGAATGTCTTCACCACCAAGCTCAGCAACGGTAGCATTCCTAAAGGGTTAGGGAAAGAAGCGAAGGAAATTCGAGGAGCGAAGGACGAAAGAACGGAGAAACAACAACAACAACAACAACAGAGCTCTTCCGAGGAGACGAAACTTTTGGTGAGTGGAACGTGTCCTTTCTAATTTGTGATCTGGAGAAAGAAATGATTTGATGGAGGAAAGAGTTAATTTTTTCCCAGAGAGAGAGGGAGAGAGAGAGAGGGAGGGGGAGAGAGAGAGAGAGAGAGAGAGAGAGAGAGAGAGAGAGAG